AGAGACAGCATTCACTTATTCCTTTATTGAGGTATAACTGACCTACAACACTATGTTAGTCACCGATGTACAACACAGTGATTCAGTATTTCTGTACATTACAAAATGATCACCACCAAAGTCTAGTTACCATCGGTCACCATGCAAAGTTATTACAATATTATTGACTGTGCGCCATGCTGTACATTTCATCCCTGTGACTCATTTATTTTGTAACTGGAAGTTAGTAATTCTTAATCTCCCTCACCCACTTCACTCATCTACCTTCCCCCTCCCCTCTGGAAAACACTAGTTTGCTCTCTGTAACTATGAGTCTGGTTCTGTTTTGTTACGATTGTTCATTTTATTTTTGCAACTGCACATGTAAGTGAAGTCATATGATCTATCTTTCTTTATCCAACATACTTCACTTAACATTATACCCTCTAGGTCCATCCATACTGTCACAAATGGCAAGATTTCATTCTTTTTTTGATTGCTGAGGAATATTCCAGTGCTTATGTATGTGTCTAAATATATATATATATATACACACACACACACACGCACATATTATATATATGCATAGATCATACACATACACACACACACACACGACATCTTTATCCATTCACCTATCAGTGGACACTTAGGTTGCTTCCATATCATGGCTATTATAAAAAAGACTGCAGTGAACACAGAGGTGCATATATCTTTTCAAATTAGTGTTTCTTTTCTTTGGAAAAATACCCAGGTGTAGAATGCTGGATCATGTGGTAAGTTTTATTTTTAAACTTTGTGGAACATTCATAATGCGTTCCATAGTGGCTATGCTAATTTGCATTCCCACCAACGGTGTCCAAGGGCTCCCTTTTCTACCCATCATCACCAGTCATTGTTATTTGTTGCCCTTTTGATAACAGCTAGCCTGAAGGGTGGGAGTCTTGTGGTCCTGTGATCTTGATTTGCGTTTCCCTGATCATTGGTGATGTTGAGCTACTTTTCAAATGTCTGCTCGCCTTTGGTATGTCTTCTTTCAAAAAATGTCTGTTCAGGTCCTCCCCCCATTTTTAATTGACTTGTGTGCTTCTCTAATATTGAGTTTGTATGAGTTCTTTGTATATTTTGGATATTAACCCCTTATCAGTTACATCATTTTCAAATATATTCTCCCATTCAGTAGGCTGCCTTTTCATTTTGTTCATAGTTTCCTTCACCGTGCAAAAGCTTTAGTTTGATTCAGTCCCATTTATTTATTTTTGCATTTGTTTCCCTTGCTGAAGAGAGAGGTGTGAAAAATACTGCTAAGACAATGTCAAAGAACATACTGAATACGTTTTCTTCCAGGAGTTTGATGGTTTCGGATCTTGCATTAAGTCTTTTTTTTTAATGGAAGTATAGTCTTCCATTTTTATTTTATTTTAGTGTATGGTGTGATAGAGTAGTCCAGTTTGATTCTTTTACATGTAGCTGTTCAGTTTTTCCAATATTTGATGAAAAGGCTGTATTTTCCTCATTGTATGTTCTTGCCTCCTTACCCTAGATTAATTAACCATTTAAGAATGTGAGTTAATTTCTAGGATCTCTATTCTGTTCCACTGATCTAGGTGTCTTCTTCTGGGCCAGTACAATATTGTTTTGATTAGCATACCTTTGTAGTATAGTTTGAAATCAGAGAGCATGACACCTTCAGCCTTGTTTTCCTTTCTCAAGATTGTTTAGGTTATTTGAGGTCTTTTGTGTTTCCACACAAATTTTAGAATGAATTGTTCTAGCTCTGTGAAAAAATACCAGTTTTATTTTGATGGAGATTGCACATACACTTGGGTAGTATGGTCACTGCAACAGTATTAATTGTTACAGTCATTGAGCACAGTATATCTTTTCATTTGCGTCGTCTTCAGTTCATCAATGTCGTACAGTTTTCTGATTGCAGGACATTTACCTCCTTGGTTAGATTTATTCCTGTACATTTTATTCTTTTTGATACAATTGTAAATGGATTTGCTTTCTTAATTTCACTCTCTGATAGCTTGTTACTGTATAGAAATATTGTTAGTATGTAGATTTGTGTATATTAATTTTTTAATCCTACACATTTTTTATCCTACAGGTACTAAATTTGTTTATTAGTTCGAATAGGTTTTCTGGTGGCATCTTTAGGATTTTCTGTATATACTGTCATGGCATCTGCAGTGAACTTTTTGTTTTTCCTTTACAATTTGCATTCCTTTTGTTTCTTTTTTGTCTGATTGGTGTGGCTAGGACTTCCAATACTATGCTGACTCTAAGTAGTGAGGGTGGGCATCTCTGCCTTGCTCCTAGTCTCAGGGGAAGTGCTTTCAGCTTCTCACGACTGAGTATGATGTTAGCTGTGGGTTGTCACATATGGCCTGTATTTTGTTGAGGAATCTCCCCTCTCTAACAACTTTCTGGTGAGTTCTTATCATAAATGGATGTTAATTTTTGTCAAAAGCCTTCTCTGCATCATTGAGATGATTATGAATTTTCATATGATTTTTATTCTTCAATGTGTTAATGTAGTGTACCATGTAGATTAATTTGCAGATATTGAACCATACTTGCATGCCTGGGATAATTCTCCTTGATCATGGTGTATGATTCTTTCGTTGAATTTAGTCTGCTATCACTTTGTGGAGGATTTTTGCACCTATGTTCATCAGTGATATTGGCTTGTAATTCTCCCTTTCGTGGTGTCTTTGGCTGGTTTTGGAATTGGGGTGATGCTGGCCTCATCAGAATGAGTTCAGAAGCATACCTTCCTCTGCAGATTTTTAGAATAGTTTGAGAAGGACTGGTATGAACTGTTCTTTGCAGTTTGGTTGACTTCCCCTGTGAAGCCATGTGGTCCTAGACTTTGGTTATTTGGGAGTTTTTTAAATAACTAATTCAATTTCATTTTTAAAAGGAGTATTTGTATCCTTTAAATGAATGCAAACTTATTTAACAACTGAATCCTTATGTTTTAACAAAGTTTGGGTTTCAAATAGGGTCCCATATTTCCAAGCTTTCCACCATTGGAAAACTTATTTTCATAGCCACTTTTTTTCTTATGAATCTTTTCAGTCTCAGTTTACTTAGCAATTAATGCAATTAGAAAGGAGGAAAGTCAGTTTACATCAAATTTGTAGTTTATGTTATCCGCCCCAGGAAGTGGTCAATTTAAATTTAACGATGTGGTGACAGACGGACTGGAATTCTCCAAAGTTACTTCCCCTAGCCTTGGTTCTTTTCTGTACAGAATCTCCTTTTCAGATGCCTTATCCATCCTCCGCACTTGAGATTTCACCTCTGTGTGTTTGGCTGTATTTATTTCTGATTCATATGTTTGTTTCTATAAATCTATCCATTTTTGAGGGTTTTCCAATTAATTTGCATACAATTGTTTGTAGTAATCTCTTAAAGGTCTTTGTACTTCAGTGACGTCAGTTGTAACTTTTTTCTCATTTCTGATTTTATTGGTTTGGACCCTGACTTTTTTTCTTCCTAAGTCTAGATTAAAGTTTATCAATTTTGCTTTTCTTTTCAAAGAACCAGCTCTTACTTTCATTGATCTTTTTTATTTGCTAAGGCATGAGAAAACCCCTGCCACTAATACGTGGAGGGGAGGTCTCCAAAGTGGTGCTCTGCCTGTGTCCCTGGGCAGAGTCACCGCGCCCTTCTGCCTCTGCGAAGCTCTCCAAGATCGGCAAGTGGGCTTGACTCAGGCTTCTGTTAAATTACTGCTTCTACTGTGGGTCTCGGATTGTGTGAGATTTTGCCTGTGCCCTTTAAGAGCAGAGTGTCTGTTGCCTAGAGCCCTCCAGCTCTCCCGCGTGCAAGCCTCAAAGGCATTCAAAGCCAGATGTGCCGGGGGCTCGTCTGTGTGGTACAAACCTCCCAGACTGGGGGACTCAGTGTGGTAGCTGGACCCCTCGCTTCTTGGGGGGAACCCTTGCAATTGTGATTTTCCTTGTTTGTGGGTTGGCTCCGCAGGTGTGGATCTTGACTATACTGCATCAGCATTGTCCTGCCTGTCTCATTGTGGTTCCTTTAGTTGTGGGAAATGTTTTCAGGGTGTTCCGGTCAATTGTGGCTCTGTAAATAGCTGTGAGTTTGGTGTCCCTCTGGGAGGAGGTGAGCTCAGGGTTTTCCGACTGCACATCTAGGCCACACCTCCACAGGAGATAGTAATTTAAGCATGTTAGATACAGCTAGACCCAAATAAACATTTGTTGAAAAGTGTTGTCTTTGTGTAAGGGGAATGTGGGCATGGTATGGTGGAAGGGAGATCCTGTTTGTAGAAATAAGTTTATAGAATTACTTGACTTTTTAAATTATATGAATATTTAGCTTTGATGTAAGCAATTAAGTTTGTAAGTGAATAAAAGAAAAAATACCATAGGTGTTCTCAGACATAACAAAATACGAATAAATAATTTTTCCACTAAAGATTTGGACAATGAAAGAAAGAAGCTTTCTTAAATTACAAATTCAGGTATAATTTTTACTCAGACTTTTATCTTGGTTTTATTTATTTTTAAATTAAATTTATTTTTTAAATTTAGTTTTGTCTTTTAGCTTTTATGTATTTTATTGAAGTATAGTCAGTTTAAAATGATGTGTCAATTTCTGGTGTACAGCATAATGCTTTAGTCATACATACACATACATATATTCATTTTCATACTCTTTGTCACCATAAGTTACTACAAGATACTGAATACAGTTCCCTGTGCTATACAGTATGAACTTGTTTTTTTATCTATTGTGTGTATATATCAGTATCCTTTACTCAAATTGTTTAATTGCAAGAGTTAAAAAAGGTCTTCTCCTTGGTTTCCCTTACTGTAATACCGTATCACCATGCGTCTCTAGACCACGTTGCCAAGCTCTGATTCTCGTAAGTTTTCTTTTCACTACACTAGGAAATCTTTGTAATCGATCGTTGAAGATCTGTTCCTTCAGGTAAGAGACTGAAACCTTGACATTGAGGTTAAATATTGTCTTTGTTGTTGAAGACAAGGGCCAACCAAGCCAGAAGTCCTGTCAATTCAGTGGCCTGGAAAACGAGCAAGTCGCCGAGTCCAGCGACACAACAGCTTCTCCCCCAGCAGCCCTCAGTTTAACGTCTATGGTCCAGGTAATGAAGCTTTGTTATTTTTCTTCAAGTTGGCTCAATTGTATCTTCATATTGACTTATTTCAAAAGGGGGGAAAGACAGCCAAAACAGTAATAATGGAATGCTTTCCTTACACCAAATAAGTCTGTCTGAAACCAAAGTGGTAAAGAATCTAAGACAGTAAGAACTGGGGTGGTGTTCCCGGCCATCAGTTCCGTCAGAATGCAGCAGCCGTGCCCGGGCAGGACACAGAGACACGGGGGAAGGGAGGACAGGGGCCCAGTCACCTAATGTGAGAAAGACTTGAGATCTGTAGAAACCCTCGTCATCTCCAGGCAAAGGAGGTGCCCTTCGGTCTGCACCCCAATCCCAGACCCCCAAGCCTGCCCAGGCATCCTCTAATTCATTTTAGGAAAAGGATTATTGTTTGCTCTCATGACAGGATTGAAGTCAAAGCAGTGCTTTTGAAGTGTATAATGTAGTCTATGCTTCTTTAGACTAAGACCTTAATAATAATTATTAGGTTATTACATTTTAACCCTGTTATTTATAATAATTACCTTAAAATAAATTTGAAATATGAAAACTTACATTGTTAAATATCAGAGCAAATTTTATAAAACATGAATACATGTGTTTGCGTATATAAATGCACCTATCACTTGAACATGTCATTTTAACACAAATGAATATTTAAATGTCTACCATTTCAGAAATTAAAATAAAGCTTGTGTTTACCAGACTACTTGAAAGATTTCAAAATGCTTTCTTGAACACTGTCTTATTTTATGCTAACATCTTATAAGATAGATGTCAGTATCTCCATTTTTTTCAGAAAGTGAAACAGTTTGTCCAGAGGTAACAGATTATTACTGCAATCTTACTTTGAAACAGACAACCTCAAAATCTCCATGATCACAATTGGAAATACTTGTTTTTTTCCTCTCGTGGGTCTGTGGTTGATTGTGATTTGGGTGATCTCAGCTGGATGTGACTCCAGCCTGTAGGTGGGATTCAGCTCTATGCCTTATGTAGCTTCTACGATCAGTGAATACTTAGAGCAGTATCTTCTGGTGGGTATCAGAAGTACAAACAGCCAGGAAAAATCACACAGCTCATTTACAGCCACTGTAGGAGTGGCCAAGATGGAGGAATAGGAAGACCTTGAGCTCACCTTCTCCTATGGACACAAAATTATGACTATTTATAGAGCAACTACTGATGAGAAAGACTGGAAGACTAGCAGAAAAAGATCTTTACAACTAAATACATTAAAAAAGGAACCGAGGAGAGGTGGAGAAGTGGCATGCTCAGGATCCATACCCCTAAGAAGGCGGTCCACAGATGAGAGGATAATTACAGTCAGAGCCCCGTGTAGGGATCTATAGCCTGAGTCTTGCACTGGGAAAACAAGCCTCCAGAATGTTTGATTTTGAACGCCAGCAGAAGTTTACTTTTGGGAGAGCCAGATGGCTGTGGGAGATAAGAGACTCCACTCTTAAAGTATGCTCACAAAATTTCACACATTCTGGGATACAGGTAAGAAGTAGTGATTTGAAACGAGAATGGGTCAGACCTACCTGCTGATCTTGGAGAACCAGAGAAGCAGGAAGCAACTGGATCTCACCCTGGGGACATAGACACTGGTGGCCTTTTTGAAGAGCTCAAACTACCATGAGGACACTGATGCACGCACTTGCAGGCATCCTTTTGAAGGAAGGGCAGTTTATGAGACTTATGGGACTACATCTAGTGTACTAACATGTGTATTACAAGAGTCCAAGAAGAGAGAGAGAAAGGGGCAGAGAATGTATCTGAAGACAGCAGCTGAAAATGTGCTCAGTTTAGGAAAGGAAATAGAAATTCAGGTCCAGGAATGACAGAGAGTCCCAAACGGGATCACCCAAAGAGGACCATGCCAAGATACATTGTAATTAAAATGGCAAAAATTAAAGATAAAGAGAGAATATTGAAGCAGCAAGGGAAAAGCAACAAGTTACGTTCAAGGAAACTCCAGGAGGCTACCAGCTGGTGCTTTAGCAGAAACTGCAGGCCTGGAGGAGCGGCATGATGTATTTAAAGTGTTTAAGGGGAAAACCTATAACCAAGAATACTCTACCCAGCAAAGCTTTCATTCAGATTGATGAAGGGATCAAAGTTTTACAGAGAAGAAAAAACTAAAAGATAACATCACCACCAAGCCAGCTTTACTAGAAATATTAAAGGGGCTTTTCTAAGCAGAAAAGAAAAGGCCACAACTAGAAATACGAAAAGTATGAAAGAAAAAAGTCTCATTACTGAAGGCAAATATACAGTAAGGCAGTAAATCAACCATAAATAAAGAAGTTTAAAAGAGAAAAGTAGTAAAATCGTCTATATCCATAATGAAGAGTTAAGGGATATAAAAAATGAAAAAAAGTAAAGTATGATTAAAAAAACATTAAATGTGGAGGTGGGAGTAAAAATGCAGAGTTGTTAAAATTGGGTGTGAACTTAAAAGATCAAGAACTTAAAAAAATCATGGAGATAGACAGAGATAAAGAGAGAGAGACTGAAAAATGTAAAGCTCATGCTAACTACAAGCCAAAAATCTGTAATAGATGCACACACACAAAATAGAAAAGAATACAAGTATATCAGTAAAGGTAAAATCATAGGGCAGTCATCAAATCACAAGGGAAGGGAGCAAAAAAAAGAAGAAGGAACAAAAGAGAACTGAAAAAACCCAAAGCAAAAGACAAAATGGCCATTAGTACATACCTATTGATAATCTCTTTAAATGTCAATAACTAAGTGCCCCAATTAAAAGACATAGAGTGGCTGAATGGATAACAAAACAAGGTCCATATATATGCTGCCTACAAGAGATTCTCCTCAGATGTAAAGACACAGACAGACTGAAAGTGAGGGGATGGAAAAGGTGTTCCATGCAAAGGGAAATGGAAAGAAACCTGGGGTGGGGATACTTGTATCAGACTTTAAGTAGACTTTAAAACAAAGACTGTAAAAAGTGACAAAGAAAGACATTGTTAAATGATAAAGGGATCAAGCCCAGAAGAATTTGTGTCAATCAGACACACACACACACATATATATAATTCTATCCAAAAGCAGCAGAGTACACATTCTTTTCAAGTTCACATGGAACGTTCTCCAGGATAGATCACATTCCAGACCACAAAATAAGTCTCAGTAAATTTAGGAAGACTGAAATCACATTAAGCAACTTTCCAGCCACAATACTGGAGACTAGAAATCAACTATAAGGAAAAAAACTACAAAAAACATATGGAAGCTAAACAGCATGCCTATAAACAGTCAGTGAGTCACTGGGAAAATCAAAGAAGAAAGCAAAAATTAACTGCAGACAAATGAAAATGGAAACACAATGATAAGAAAATCAGTGGGATGCAGCAAAACAGCTCTAAGAGGAAATGAACAGCCATACAAGCTTACCTGAGCGAACGAGAAAAATCTGAAATAAATAACCTAACCTTACACTTTAAGGAACTGGAAAAAGAAGGAAAATCAAACCCAGAGTCAGTAGAAGGAAAGAAATCATAGATATCATGAAATTGATGAAGTGATTGATGGAAATAAATGAAACTGAGACTTAAAAAACAGTAGAAAAAAAGATCAGTGAAAATAAGAGTTGGTTTTTGAATTGATAAATAACACTGATAAACCTTCAGACATGCTAAAGCATTACTGAAGAGAAAGAAAAAGGCTGGA